AATTATTTTATCTTTATTATTTGTAAAATCATGTAAATTGTTAATGCTGTGAGTTAAGTGTTATTATTTATATTTCAATATATTTTTAAATATATACAGTATAGAGGCTGGAATTGTAGCTCAGTAGTAGAGCACTCGTTTAGTGCATGTGAGGCACTGGGTTTGATCCTCAGTACTACATACAAATAAATAAATATAATAAAGGTATTGTGCCCAAATATGTATAAAAATAAATCTAAAATATATGTACAATATATTCCTCATAGAGACATAATACTTATAAAATTACATTGTGATAACCTATTTACTTATTTTATTATCTCTTGCTTAGGACTGCATAAGAACAAGAACAAATTTTTCAATTGCTGAATCATATTTTAGTGGACGTAATTTTAAAAAATGAATGTAATACATATGTGAAAGTTCCTTGAAAATATTTAATTCAAAAAGCTACCAGAAAACATTTTATTCAAAGCCATGTGATCATCTATAAATCATAAGAATTCCTAATGTCTCAGAAAGACATTAACATTTTAATTTCTTTTTTTAATATAATGGTTTTTTTAGTTGTTTATGGACCTTTATTTTATTTATTTGTATGTGGTGCTGAGAATTGAACCCAGTGCCTCACACATGCTAGGCAAGCACGCTCCCACAGAGCCACAACCCCCTTCCAACATTTTAATATCTTATATTAGAATCCTTTGATTTCCAGATATTAGCAGACAGTTGAGATGTAAGGACTAAGAATTCTTTGAAATGTTTTAAAATCAGTATAATGATTTTTATTTTATAAATACTTAAATTCATTTTGTATTTTACTTTGTAAATTATACTAGTCTACACATTTAGAAATAAAATGTATTAGTCTTCAAGTTTTCTACTCAACATTACTTGGGAAAAAAATTATAAATGGAACAATTTAATTTGAAATACTCCTGTGGTATAACTATTAACTGATAACTCAAGACAAAAGTTTAATTGTTGAGTTGATGGTCATATGATTAATATAATTATAATGAAACTTAAATTTATATTTGCATATTAAACAAGGAACTCAATTTACAGAGAAAATGAAAGTGACGCCCTTTAAATTTCACAAATCTGTGCATTTAAAGATACAATACAATAGAACACATTACCTATAGGGATTGAATTTAATGAATACTACAGAACATTTAGAATTAAATACATTATGACATTATTAATATTCACCTTGAAAACATGAGAGAAATTCCATCTGAAGTACAATGTGGTGATATAAACAGAATTAAAACTATTTACTATATGTTTTAAATAAATACATGCCATTTCAAAAGAAAATTCTGTATTGGAAAACTTTGTCATACTTTTAAATAACTTGGTAAACAATATGTTGGATGTCCTTGGTTGTGGAAGTGGAAGGAATGGACCAGAAAAAATTTAAAATTAAGTATAATGTGACATTTAAAGAAATTATTAGTGAACAAGAATATTTAGTAAAGATATTTATGAATTTCAAGATTTTACTGAGTTGCTTTTTATAGTGTCCCTTGGTTTTTTTTTTGTTGTTGTTTGTTTGTTTCTTTACAAAAGTTTCTTTTATTTATTTGTAGAAAATACTACTCTGTGGACCACATCCTTGAAGGCTTGCTTTACTTGCTGGTTCCTCAGGGTATAGATGAAAGGGTTCAGCATGGGGGCAACAGAGGTGTTGAGAATAGCTACTCCTTTAGTCAGTGATGCCTTTTCTTTGGCAGATGGATTAGCATACATGAATATACAACTTCCATAAGAAATAGAAATGACAATCATGTGAGAGGAACAGGTGGAGAAGGCCTTTTTTCTCTGTCTGGCAGAGGGAATTCTCAAAATGGTCCTGATAATGTACATGTAAGATAAAACCACTAATGCCAAAGTGATTAGCAAAGTAACCAGAGCAAAGTAGAAACCAATGACTTCTAGGAGCCATGTATCTGAGCAAGACAGTTGTAAGAGGGGAAAATAATCACATGCAAAGTGATCAATGACATTGGAAGCACAGTAATCCAGCTGGAGCAGAAGCATCAGGGGTGGGAAAATGGTCAGAAACCCACCCACCCAGGCACACAGCACAAGCAGGGTGCAGAGTTTCCTGCTCATAATGGTTGTGTAATGAAGGGGCTTGCAGATGGCAACATAGCGGTCATAGGACATGGCAGTGAGAATGTAAAATTCTGTCACTCCCATGAAGATAAAGAAAAAAAGCTGTGCTGCACAATTGTTATAGGAAATAGTCTTATCCTGGGTGACAATAGCGCCTAGAAACCTAGGGATACAAACAGTTGTAAATGAGATTTCTAAAAAAGAGAAGTTCCGAAGGAAGAAATACATAGGAGTCTGTAGATGAGAATCCACCAAGGTTAGAGTGATGATAGTCAGATTCCCAGTGACACTTAATATGTAAGTGATAAATAAAAACAGGAAAATTACAATCTGAAGTTTAGGATCATCAGAAAGACCTAGGAGCACAAATTCTGTGATCACTGTATGGTTCATCTCTTTCTCTTTCTTTCTGTTTTTCCCTGTCTCTGGGTCTCTCCTTTTTCCTCTTTTAAAGATATTGGGGATAAAAGAAATTAAAGAGAGAAGAAAGATATAATTATTATGAACAATATGGTCCTTATTGATACAATTTTGAAATATCTTCCATAATCTCTAACAATTTTATTTACATTATTACTCTCTTTGCATTATATTTTATTACATATTTGTAAGGCCACCTTGTTTGCTACTGGTTCTTTTATTTTAAATCTAGCAACAGTGTTTAGGGAATTTTTATAAATTAAGCCACATGATAGAGCGATGTTGAATAAAACCAATAATTTTTATGTTGAGTCAAATTTCTGCAAAATATTATTACCTTTTTTGTTGAAACAGTTATATGAATCATGAATTTTTCTTTCTTTTCCTGTGGTGAATATGTAAGTTCATACTACAACCTAAAAACAAAAATAAATTATCTTGATTTGATCAAATGGCAAAAGTAAAAATTTGAAGACTAAAGTAACAATCCATTATTCCTTTTATGATATAAGAAATTAATTAATAATTCTATTAAAATATGAAATACATTTTTAAAATATAAATTATTTGATTTAATTATTCATTGTATTTTAATATTACTGTTTTGGAGTAATTATCAAAATAACACAAGAACATTATATACATAGTATATATATAAATTTACTATAAGATAAATAATGTGATTATTTCACGTAGCAACCAGGGAATGTGATTACTTCTAGGTTTATCTTATAATTCTATTAAAATCTTTAATGTTTGATGTCTTTGATGATTTTTTTAGAAATATATGTGTGTACATATATACACATATATGTACACACATATATACACACACACACATATGAGGCACACATTACACAGAAATTTTTCATTCATGAGCTTAAAGGAACATATATTTAATTTTCATTTCATTTTGAAGCATAAATTTAAAATTAATACTTGCCTTAAATCTTGGCAGCTCTGTCACTTGGATTATAGCCCAGTATATTTTCCATTTGAACATCATTCTTCCTTAGCCATTAAGTTTTATCTAAAAATGTTTTCTTCCTTAGACATTTTTTCCCACATGAGACACTCATTTCATGGATCCACTAATCCACTAGGATACCTAGAAATGTACAGGAAGACCTCTCCCATTCACCTTAACCCATTCAGTTAGTCCCCAGCTCTTCAAACACTGCCCTGGGTATACTGTTGTGTGGATTTGGTCCGGCTAAGTCATGACACCTGACTTTTCCATATTTTACATAGTAAAATTTATGCTGTGAAGGACAGACATTAGCAAAGTTCACGGTAATCAAATTTGATTTTATATTTTCTCCATTTTATGATGATGAAAGGGAATTATTTTAGGAAATAAAAATGTAACATCAGAAACCTTCAGAAAATGTAACAATATACTATCTTCCCCTTCATTCATTTGATCTAGAATTTTAAGAAAATAATATTTAAATAAAGAAAAATAAGACATTATTGGGTATTATAAGTATAGATTCTTACATCATAATCCTGTTCTCAATTGGTTGTACTTTATATCTCAAATATAAATACTTCAAGTCTACTTCTTTTGTTTTCTGAAGATTTGATCTCATGGGAACAAGATAAAGTCCAAGCCACATCTCTGCTATCTTATTGACCTTGAGGGATTTCTGTTAGCCATCCTTCAGTTTCTCAGTAGGCTCCTAACTTTTCTCTATTGTGGATCTCCCTTGAGAATGGTTACATTTTTTTGTATACCACAGAGAATCTACAATGCTCAATGCTATTCTACAAATTATTTATTTCCATTGATTGCAATTATGTAATATTTTATTATTATGTAATATTTTATGAACAACAAAAATAACTATGAAACATACTTTGTTACAAAACCTGAACCCTAATCTAAATCATATTTAATTATGTTTTTAAAATATAAAAATTTTCTATGTATGCCTTTTTGATTGTTAATACTTTGTCATTGCTAGATGTTGGTTACCTGTAAACTAAGGATTACTCTATTATAATAAGTTAAAGAATCACTATTATAATGTACATATTTTTCTCATACTTTAAGAAAAAATTATTACTTATTTTAACTAATTTCATCCTCATTATAAAGTAGAATATTTAATTGCCATATCAACTTTCCTAATCTTATGATTCCTCTTGCTTTACATTTATTTAAAATCATTTCAACATTTTAATAAGAAATAACCACAATTTGATAGCCTTTATTTATATGACAATCTGGTTAGTGGATTATACCTATTTATTCTCTTTCATGTTCTTCATGCTTCTCAAATATTTTTACAATAAAAATAAAATATCAGATGTTTCAGTGTTTCATTGCTGTGACTCAAATACCTGACAAGACCCAACTGAAAGGAGGAAAGCTATTTGGGGCTCACAGATTCAGAGGTTCAGTTCATGGTCTGTGAACTCCATTGCTCCTTGCCCCAGTGAGGTAGAATATCATGGTCAAAGGGCCATAGTGGAGTAGAACTTCTTACTCATGGAAGCCAGGAAGAAGGAGGAGAGAAAGAGAGAAAGAAGGAGGTGGCAAAGGGAAAATAGAGGAGTTGGGGGAACAAGATAAAGTTGGTTCTCTTGTATTTTATGTTTGATTATATGGACATATAAATTTATAACTTTAAAAAGTTCTTTTAGACCACATAGTATTTTACATAAACATATCAAGGAAAATTAAAATTGACAATTCTACCTCTGTGGAGTGCTTCAGTTAATGCAAAATGTTTTGGTATTTTGTTGTTGTTGATGTTGTTTTTTTTTTTTTAATTTGATTTCTTTTTTCTTATCTAGTACTTTTTCCAGATTGTTTCAGCACTTTCCTGCATTGGACCTGCAATAAATAATTTGTAGAGTTTTCTTACATTTATTAGGAATTGTGAACTAAGAATCTAGCCCCGGTTTTATCATATACAGCCTTTAAAATGCTGAAGTAAATTTCTTCTGTCTCTAGTTGCTTCAGGATTTTTAACATAACTAGGTGCTGTATTTTGTTCAAACTTATTTTTGCATCTACTGGGATGATACTATAATTATTGTCTTTAATTCTATTTATGTGCTAAATCACATTTATTGATTTATGTATGTTGAACCAATCAGAGCAATTAGGCAAGAGAAAGAAATTAAAGGGATACATATGGGAAGAAGTCAAATAATCTCTGTTAGCTGATAATGTAATCGTATGTCTACAAGACTTCACCTGAAAAAAGAAAGAAAGAAAGAAAGAAAACTCCAACAGATGACCTCTATTGCTGATAAATGAGTTCAGCAAAGTACCAGGATACAAGACAAAAGTTCATAAATCAATATATTCCCTATATATGAATGGTGGTATTGCTGAGAAAGAAATCAAGAAGACTATTCCATTCATTGTAACCTCAAAAAAATTTATAAAACTCTGAAAAAATTGAACAAGACCTTAGAAGATAAAAAGATCTCCTATATTCTTTGATAGGCAGAATTAATTCTGTCAAAGTGGTAATATTATCAAAACCAACATTCAAATTGAATGCAACTTCCATCAAAATACCTATGACATTATTCACAGAACTATAAAAAAACACTCCTGAAATTCATCTGGAAGATTAAGAGACCCAGAATAAAAAAGCAATCCTAAGCAAAAAGAGCAAGACTGGATGCATTAGAATATCTAACCCAAAATTATGCTATGAAGTTATAATAACAAAAAAAACATGTTATTAGCATCAAAACATAAAGATCATTGAAGTAGAATAAGAGGCACAGAGACAAACCCACAAACATAGAGCCATCTGATGCTTGACACAGGTGTCAAAAATATACCTTGGACTCCTTAGCCCATTTATTGATAGGGTTGGTAGTTTTTTTGTTTGTTTGTTTGTTTGTTTTTGATTTTTGGTGTTAATTTTTTTGAGTTCTTTATATATCCTGGAAACTATATACAGTCGATCAACAGATATATGTGGAAAATATTCAACACCTCTAGTAATTAGAGAAATGTAAATCAAAATTACTCTAAAATTCCATCTTACTCTAGTCAGAATGGCAGTTATCAAGAATACAAGCAACAATAACTGTTGGCAAGGATATGGAGGAAAAGGTACACACAAACATTGCTGGTGGGACTGCAAATTGGTACAACTACTCTGGAAAGTAGTATGGAGATTCATTAGAAAACTTGGAATGGAACTACTATTTGACTAAGGTATGTCACTCTGTGGTCTCTACTCAAAGGACTTACAAACAGCATACTACAGTGAAGCAGCCACATCAATGTTTATAGCAGCAAAATTCACAATAGTCAAACTGTGGAACCAACCTAAGTGTCCTTCAATAGATGAATGTATAAAGAAATTGTGGTATATATACACAATGCAATATTAATCAGCAATAAAACAGAATAAAATTTTGACATTTGCAGGTAAATGGACGGAGCTAGAAAATATTATACTAAGCAAAGTAAGCTAATCTCCAAAACCAAAGGCCAATTGTTTTCTTTGTTAAATGGATGCTAATCCATAGTGGGGGTAGGGGTCAGGGGATGAATGTAGGAACTTTGGATTAGCCAAAGGGGCAGGAGAGAAGGGGAGGGAAAGAGGGATAGGAAAGATAGTGAAATGAGATGGACATCATTATCCTAGGTACATGTATGATTGCACAAATAGTGTGACCCTGTGACCCTACTTTGTGAACAACAAGAGAAGTGAAAAATTGTGCTCCATTTGTGTGCAATGAATCAAGGAGCATTCTGCTGTCATGTATAACTGGTTATGTTAAGGTCTGTAAACAAGTTGAAATAACACCTGGTATTTTGCCAGGGGAATGTAAGAGTTCATAAACAAGTCTGGATGGTGCCTGGCAAAATGCCAGAGGGAGTGGTTTGAGAAGTAACAAAAGCGAGCCATTAAGTGTGGAGATTCCTTATTGGTTGACTGATGTATCTAGTTTATGTTAATTAGATAAGCTGTGTGAAATGTATAAATAGCTCTGTTGTCCTACAATAAATGGCTCCCTCTCCTGCTGTATCAACGCGCACAATTTATTCATCACCCCCCGGCTACTCTGCTGCAGCCAGACTGCGGCATGGTTAGAACAAATAAATTATTAAAATTATATATATATCTGTTGGAGAAAAGCTAGCCTCTTTAACAACTGGTGGTAGGAAACCTGATCAGCCATATACAGAAGAATAAAACTAGATCCTAATCTCTCATCCTGCACTAAGTCAACTCAAAGTGAATCAAAGGTTCAGAAATTAGATCCAAAACGTTGCAACTTAAGAAGAAAACATGAGGTCAACACCCAATGTATTGGTGCAGGCACCAACTTCCCAAAGAATATCTACAAAGCTCAAGAAACAAAACCAAGAATAAATGAGTAAGATGGAATCAAATTGAAAAGCTCTTGTACAACAAAGGGAAGAATTAAGAGCACCAAAAGGAAACCTACAGAACGGGAGAAAAATTTTTCCAGCTACTCCTCTGACAGGGGATTAATATCTAGAACATATAAAGAACACAAACAGCACCGGTAAAATAAATACCTCAATTAATAACTGGGCAAAAGAACTAAACAGATACTTTTCAAAAGTTGAAATACAAATAGCCAACAAATAGACACAAAAAATTCAACATTCATGAAAATGAAAGAAATGCAAATCAAAGCTGTATTGAAAATTCATCACACTCCAATTAGAATTGCAATCATAAAGAATACAAATAATAAATCATTCTGTTGAGAATGTGAAGAAAAAAGTAAACTGATAGACTGTTAGTGGGACTGTAAATTCACACAGCCACTCAGAAAAGCAGTATGGAGGTTCTACAAAAGATTAGGAATGGAACTACTATATGACCCAGGTATTCCACTCTTTAGAATTCATCCTAAAGAACTAAAATCAGCACACTACAGTGATATATGCATGCCAATGTTAATCTCAGTGAAATTCACATTAACCAAATCATAGAACAAGGCTAAGTGCCTGTCAACAGATGAATGGATTAAGGAAATGTGATAT